CAGATTTTTTCAGCTAGTTTTTTTTTTGGGATTTTGAAAAAAAAAAACCATTTTCTCATTTGAAAGCTGAGACTTGCTTAATCGTTCATTTCTAGAAATTCTAAATACTAAACCTGAGTTTGATTTCGACTGCTGAGAATTTTATGAACGTTTTAAATACAAGATATAACTAAGAAACCTGCTTTTCATTTATTTTTAAATTGGAATCGCCAATTTCTAAATCCCAATGTCGTTTTTAGCACAAAAACAAAGTTGCAATTTTAAGCTGATTCTATGGGTTTTTTTTTTATCAACAACTGTTTCTATGGATTTCTCAGGAACTGAACTTCACATTCAAAACGAGGTTGTTATAGAAGCTAATGAAAAAAATCTCAAAAAAGAATTGGTTTTACAATTTGAATCAGTAAAGAGCTTTTAGATTGCTAAAAGTCTGTAGCTTTACTAGTCTAGAGAAAAAACAGAGCAAATTTCATACCATTGGGCCTTTAACAGCCATTGATGACAAGTTCCCAGAGCTATCAAGAGCTCCTGACATTCTCCTCCTTGATGAATCCATCGGTGGTCTCCCTCCTTCCTCGCCTTCAATAAACAACAAACATACAAAGCTTTAATCTTTCTAAGTTTTATGTGCAGAAGAGCATTCGAGTGATTCACAATGCTCATCAGTTATAAAAATCTCACCTGCGTATCTATCGACGCTGGTCAATCCTGGAGGCAAACCCGCACTAGTTCCAGCCGCAGGGGTTGAGAGGCCACGTGATGGAGGAGCGGTTAGTTGTGATTGTTGATACTTCAATATGGTCCAGTCAAAGACATAATCAAATTGAAACCCTGCGATAAAGAACATGTAAGAAAGCGTGGATTTCGGGAAAACATGCGGATTTGAGGGAATGATGAAAAGCTTCAAAACCTTCGCGGATAAAGAGATCCCGGAATATTCTCTTGAGATAACCGTAATCTGGTTTATCATCAAACCGAAGGGAACGGCAGTAGTGGAAGTAAGATGCAAATTCGGATGGGTAACCTCGGCATAAGGACTGTAAGAAGATGAGCAAATTGTTAAGGAGAAAAGTAGAAACTTGAAAACAAAGGATCAAACTTTATTATTGAGACTTTACCTCAATTGATGTTGATACTTTCTTTTCGCTGATTCTCTCATACTTTTGTTTCTTGGTTCCAGCTTTAAGCCCTTGCCATGGAAGACTGAAAAACACAAAATTTTATAATAAGGTAAGAAGAAGAACAATGTGAAACGACAGGACGTGAAGGTAAAAATACTCACCTTCCTTTTAGGAAATACATGAGAATGTAACCAAGAGATTCTAGATCATCCCTTCGGCTTTGCTCTAGATAAACGAAAAAAATAAATTAATACAAGGATAGTGTTTGGAGCATACTAACATGAAAAAACTAAAACGGAATTTTGTCAAAGCTTACCAATTCCCAAGTGAGTGTTCATACTAGCATATCTTGCAGTCCCAGTGAGATTCTTATTTTCTCTACAAAATAGGAAATGGCAGGCAAAATTAGAATTGTACGAAGCAAGAAGAAATGCAGACTGATTACAATTCGATCATCTCACCTGTAGGGAATGTGCTGGTGTGTAGTATTATCCCGGTATTTCTTAGCAAGACCAAAGTCGATGATGTAGACCTTTAGAAACGAAAGACAAAGAGTCATTACCGAGACAATATCATCAAAAGTAAAATGAGAACAAAATCAAAGATATAGGTGAAGGAAACCTGGTTTGCGCGCCTTCCTAAACCCATGAGAAAATTGTCTGGCTTGAGATCTCGGTGAAGGAAAGATTTTGAATGGAAATACTCAACACGGTTGATCTGAACATAAAACCCAAAAGGAAGAAAACGAGTCGATCAGTAAACTCATCTAAGGAAAAAGGGTAACATAAAGACGAGAGGTTTACCATTTGATCGGCAAGCATGAGGACAGACTTCAAAGAAAGTTTCCTGCTACAGAAATTAAACAAGTCTTCAAGACTAGGCCCAAGTAAATCCATCACCAGAACATTGTAGTCTCCTTCAACACCAAACCACTTGACATTTGGAACACCAGCTGCCATAATTCAAAGTTCATAAGAGACTCACTCAGGACATGTAAAAAAACCGAGAACGAAGAGATGTTTATCAGAAATGAAGCTTTACTTCCTCCTTGCAGAATTCTGTATAGCTTGGATTCATAGAGCAGCTGCGGATGTTTCGTCTTCACATTTTCCTGCACAAAAGAGACATAAATCTCAGCATTTCCATCAATAACAGATCAACCTGGAAAAGCAAAAGAAAAATCATACTAAATCGATACATGGACATGATCCATAAATATGACAGAAGCTACAAAAATAAGTGAAGATAGGACTTTTGCACCAAATAATCTTCAATGTCGATCTATTTCAAGTAACTTAATAAACTCTAGCCAATCTCCTTTTTATGGTAAACAACAAACATTGTCTCTATCTGCAATTAAAATCTTCAAATAATGCTAACACAACACAC